AGATATCAAGGCACTGCCGACCATGGCTCTCTAAGGGTTGTTTATGCCGCCGAGTTTAGAATTAACTAAATTTTTAATCTAATATTTTTATGTGTGCATTAATACAAATAGCCAATAGGCTGTGCAAATGGCAAGATATTTTTTTTAATATCTCCATTGAGAAATTTAAAAATAACCATTGTAAAATGTAGTGATGGTACTAAAGTTTTTCAATTTTTGTTCAGATGATACGCGTTAGTGAAAAGGTTGAGAACCGCTGCAATAGAGCATTTAATGGAACATTATATAAATCATATTAATTTGTCAAAAATACATCTTTAATTAATTTAATTTACTTATTGAAAAGATACTTTAAAGCCAAAAATAAAATTATGCTGTACTTCTAAAAACATTTCAAATGATATATTCTAAAAACAATGCAAGATCATTACTATCCAATGATTTCGGCAAGCATCATATGTTATGTAAAATCCTGGTACTTCCATGTTATTTTCCGCCACAAGAATGCGTATGATATTTTTAATTGTAACAGTATTAATAAGTTTTAAATACATTCACTCCCTCCTTCGCATCTTCGAGTAGCTTACAGAATGTGAAATCCATTTTCCTTTTTCTTTCTCCCCCCCCTACAAAAAAGTGTTTTTAGTCAAATAACGCACATGAAGAAACTCAACTATCAAATTATGTTTCGAACAGTTATAAAAAAAAGTTGCAAACCATAACACAAGAATATTTCGTTCAGTTTCACTCATAAGACCGAGATGACTCAGCTCATCACATTGTTGCTGTTTTCGGAACATTATAACACGTTTGAGCAATGCTTTTTCGAGGTGCCTATATAATGGAAAATACTAATAATTTTATGAAAAAAGGAATATCTGATAAAAAAAGTACGTTCTACATTTATTTAATAATAGAGTCCTAAAAATCATTACAGTATTGCAGACACTGATTAGCAAGGCAAGCATACATATTGTTACGACTTTTTGTACGCAAATAATTTTAGTGAAATTGTAGTTTTCTTTTTTCATAATGCAACATCAAAATCTAAAGAAGCGAAGCTTTGCTGGAAAAGTAAGAATACAGGGGCAAATCTATTTAATATTACGTAAATAGCTAATGTGGTGGCCAAATTTGGCTCAAAATCGCCAAAAGTCTCCAAACTTCGCGCACATTTGGTGACATTTTAATCCAGTCCCTGTATAACTGTAATGGGTATTGTAATTGATGCTATATGTAGCTGTATCGTATCCGGCTCTCATATGGCTTCCAGTAGTTTCGAGAAATAGAAAGTATTAGAAATCACTCGGCGGCCGGGAGAAAATTATATAAATCCAAGGAGAGCATCAATTTCTCAGTAGTAGTTGTTAGTTCAGAGCTGAATTAGGAGCATTGATATAGTTTTCTCATCATAATCAAGGTTTTCCAAAATAAAAAGGGAAGATCGCGAAATGTATCCAAAAGCAACACAAAACAGAACACTAAACAGTAACCATAAAAGACCCTACAAAGTAGTGAAAAAAAGGATTCGGAGGGATATCACATGGTTATATCTCATGGTGAGTTTAAGAGGCGAGCCTTGTTTGTTTACCTTATGCTTCCCTTGAGTAAGTCATGTTTAACTCATTTCAAGTAGAATGTCTAATCAACATGTATCTGAAATCCTATGGGCGTGCAATGCCATCTCGTGCCAAAAGTTATAGTTTTTATAATGTACCAGGACTCTGACACGAATATGTGACAGGCCAGGGGTGAGGGAGAAAACGCTCTGGCCCGGCAGCATGCTGGCCTGGAAATGAGTGCGTTTCTTGCTGGCATATATGTGTGACAGTCCGAGTAAAAGGGTTAAAACTTATACGGAAAGTGACATCTTATTTCATTCCCTAAAGCTCCAGCAGCCAATAGCAAAAGACTTATGAATACTGGTTAATTCTCAGTAAATGTTTTTTTTTTCCTCGTTCATAATATGAATGTGAGAAAATTTCCCTTAGAAAATCTTCTACAGAGGCATTCCTTAGGTAGATAGTTCACCTAGACTTTGCATAATAAACCAACCAAGCTATTGTTAAGCAGATCGCTAAATAAATAAATAAACTGATAGCCTTAAATGAAAATTTTGGTACCATAACAGAGAACGATTCCGTATAATTCAGATATATGCAAGGTGTTAGCAAGGTTGTGAAATAATTTTGATGCTGCCAGAATCAATTCTTGAAAACTTTGCCTTTTGGTTGAGCTTTGCACTGCATTGCGTTTAGCGTTCTTACTAGTTTGAAGTGCAATTACTGATCGTATACAATGATAATATGAAGAACTTAACGAGTACTTTTGTGGAAATTTCTACAATTGTGAAGTGTTTCTTTTGGTAAAATTAATTTTACCAAGCTATCGTCAATTCTGTGTGCATTTAATCTATTACGAAAACGTACTCAGATAGCAATTTTTTGTGTCAGATTTGGGATTAAATGCTGAAGTCAACAGCGATGATGAGACTCAGCTCGTGGCTAAGACAGCTCGTGGAAGCCTTTGCTGCATTCAAAGGGGAGATGGAAGCGGTCTGAGAAAAGAATGAAGGAGCCGTCAAGTCTGTTAAAGAAGTTACGAAAGCGAGCCAAATTCTGTTAAGAAAAAGATGAAAGCTCTTCAGGAAAAGATTGAAGCAGGTGAAGAGGAAACGAAAATAGAAATTACATCCATTATAGAAAACAAATTCGAGGCTTTGGAAGGCCGGAAAGACACGGTTGAAAATAAAATTTGGAGAAACTGAAGAAAGAATTTCTGCTGCCGACCAACAGATCAGAGGAAGAGTTACTACTGTCAAACAACAAATCGAAGAGAGTGTTTTTATTCTCGTATAGATTCAGAGTACAGTCGATTTCAGAGTTCTGCTGTCGCTAAAAATGTTGATAGCTTAGAGAAATTCATAGCCACAACAGGATGCACTTCTGACTGTTTCAAAATTTTTACCCATTTCTTTTCGACCCTCTAAAACTGTTCACTTCTGATGGAAAGTGATCTGATAGACTTCCTAGGAAGTGTCTAAGACTCAGTTCTCCACAGTAGCGGACATAAATAGATGGAATTCTCAAAATAACGCAGCTTCTTTGAGAGCAGACGCTGCTGATATTCCTCAGACTCTGCTCAAAAACCAGAGACAAACCGGCCTTAAAGTTCTGGAACTACGGTAGTGAAGGCCACATTGTAAGCACTGCAGAAGACCCTCAAGGAACGGAAAAGAATGCGATTATGTATTTTCAAAGTTATGGGATTCTGGCATAAAAAGGAACTTGTTGGAGTGTTTCAATATTACTTTTTTAACTACACTTAGATTTATTTGCGGTCTGTGCAAAGAGTTAATTACTATTGTATTTGGAAAAGAACAATTAGATTTAAGTAACAAGACAGTGATAGATTGGATCTATTTTCTGAGAGAAGTTGGCGCACACAGACTTTTGTCAAGACCAAAGTAAAAAAATCAGAGGACCTAACCGCATAGTAGAAATCGACGAAAGTAGCTAGAATTTTCATAAAACGCAGAAATCAAGTAGCTAGAATACTCCCTGAACAATGGATGTTCGGAGGAATTTGTCGAGAGAATAATCAGTGTTTCATCGTAAGAGTTCCTGACAGAACGGCGGCCCCCCTCTTACAAGCGATTACAGAAAATAATGAAGAAAGATCTATTACTATTTCTGACTCATGAAAGGCATACAAGACTGAAAAATTAAGATGTGCAAATTTCGAATATTTGAAGGTCAATCACAGTTACAATTTTATTGACCTGGATACTAGTGCATACACACACAGAACATGGAAAGATTATGAGACTCAACAAAAGGGTGAAACAAAAAGCATCGCAGAACTGCACGACAGTACTTAGACTCGTATTTATGCGAATGTGTGTGGCGTCGTCTTCATAATTTTTTTTTTAAGATTTTTATTTAAATAGCTTTTTTATTGTTGTTAAAACAGGGAATTTAAAGTAAATTTATGCTTAATTCTTTTTGCCAATAAACTGTGCCACAATTTTTTTAATCGTGTGTTCTAAAATATTAATTTCAACATTTCTTTTGAATTAATTTCCATTAAATATGCACTGGGGAACAATATGAAAGTGACATTTGCTCCAGCTTTCCTGATCGACGGGGTTTTACATATGACTAGTATTCTATCATTTAAACAGCAGAAAGTAATACAAGATCTTCTCCTGTGTTGTACAGCATTTTATATTTAGCAATCAGATGTGAAACTTCATATGACGCAAGTAAATATTTTTTTGCAAACTAATAATTTGCTCAAAATATTGTTTTTCTTTAGTTGAAGATTTTTAGCAATCGTTTGGAATATTTTTTTGGTGTATTGACTTACGTAAGATGCTTGGATTCAAGATGCTTTTTTATTATTATTATTTTGATGGTTTTACTTTCAACTGAAAATGTGTTTTCCCACGAGAAGTTACGTATGCATTGGCGTTGTCATAGAAGCAAAGTTTCTGCATCTTTACTTCCGCTTTTCGGCGACATTTGACGTCGTGATTTTCTTTACTGCCAACGCCTAAGGCCATAAGGCTGATGGTATTCGATTTCTCTGGGTACATAACTTCATATAATTTGCCTTTCGACAACTGTCACTTTTGCCATATGTTAAAAATGATTTATATGAATTGCAATGCTGCAGAATTTGGATACCATAGTTTTTCTTTTTGTTCTGTGTTCATACTACACAAGGATTTTTAAAATATTATCAAAATATTACTTACAGTATTTTAGATATAAACTAGAAACCATTACAACCAAGCATTAAAAAGTTTAATTATCATACTCTTCTTCTATGGGATCTAATACTGTTAATATCTTATTTTATGTTAGTTCATAGCATATTATTAGATAATTATTGTAGCAAAGGACAAAGAGCACTGTTTCTTTAAGTATTTAATGGATCAGAAGTTAACAACCGCAGAATAAAATATATTTACATTAGATGCTTACTGTGTTATTTGTATTGCGCGCAAGCTTCTGTTTCCACCTAGTACTTGCGTTTCATGTTTATCTCGATCGACCTTGCCCTCGAAGAATCAAAGCAGCTCGATATCATGGCGACGATTTGTGGAGTTTTAAAGCGTGGATCGTATTTGTATAACATTTTGGAACGTAAGGTATATTGCAAAAGTATCTGCAATAATAAACGTTTGAAATTTTTTATCCCTGAATTTTTTGTTAGCTTATATTATATATATGGCTACAGTAATCGTGTAGTTTTACCGATGTGATCTAAAACCACGTGACTTGTTTACGTGCAGACGAAATTTTATTCATTGTTGATTAAGCTAAGAGCACGAAAAAAGTACACCGAAAAAGAATTAATAAAAAATGAATTTAAAAAAAGTTCAATATTTTGAATCTTTTAGTTCTATTTTAGCTAAATTTAATTTCTCATACTTTAAGTATAATACATTTTTAGAAACAATTAGTGATTCTGAGGAAATTCACATTAGTTTTATTGAAGGGATTTAATTTAAATAGCGATTCATAATAATTAATGCAAATGCATGCTAATAGGAATATTTAAGTAAGCAAATATGATTAGTGTTTGATGTTAATGTCAAATGAAAGTGTCAACTTTTCCAGAGGCAAATTGTTGTGTCTATATGGAGCTCCATGCTGAAATACATTTCACTCTTTTTTCTCTTAAATAAGTCTGTGTTGCCTGATAGTATCCAGTTTGGCATTTCTTATTTCTCATTTATTAGGATTAGCGTTCTTCCATATTTAGTGTGGACAGATTGTATTAATTACTGTACCTGTCTATGTCATACTTAGTTTGAAATGACCATATTTTAAGTTAATAACGTTACTGTGGCTTTTCTGTTTCATAAAGTTTCAGAATGAATTTAATAATTCCATTGTTGTAGCTTTGTCTGTTGGTACTTTTAGCTGATTAGAAAGGCACTGTAAAACAAATTATATAACAACTGTGAAACAAATTAGATAACAAACAACTTTCATAGAAAAATTATGATTAATTTTTGTTTTAAATACTGTTTTAAAATTTTTGCTTGTGGAATTTTCTTATGATAGAAGAAACAGAGGTGAAATTTCTATGGAAATACAGTATTTTGCCACAAAATCGCTAAGGATATAATGTTTAAAATCTTTTCTAAAAGTGATCCCTGTGAAATTTTCACCACATATACACACCACAAAAAAGAGAATATAAGTTAGCTAACTTTTTTGGGGGATAAATATATAGTTGAACAATAAAATGTGTATGTAAGTAATATATATATATATATTTGCAATAAAAGTAATAGTTCTTTTTCTTCTGTTGTATTCGCGAAACTGTTCCACTATGGTTGTGATAACACATAAGTACCTAAAACCTTTCAAATTTAAACTTTTTGTATATATTTCTTGTTCTGATTGATAGCTGTGCTATATTTATCAATGACTAAAATTTCGAAAACTTCCAGACAAAATAAAATGTCAAGTAAATAGAACTGTTATTTTAAGGTATTATAAAAAGTAATATGTTATTGAAATTTTTATTTTATGTTCCATTAAAAATAAGATTTTAGTAATTACAAAAATTTGAAGTTTAGAGAATACATTAAAATGTTGGAAAAGTAACAAAAGAAAGAAAGAGAAGGCTAATGTGCTTTGATGTGACTGCTAACAAAAGTTATTTAAAATAGCTATGATTGTGAAGCTGTATTGGAAACAGTACATATAAAGTATGTTCTTATTAAAAAATTAACAAAAAATTAGACCATTAATGCAATAAAATTGTTAAAAAAGAGTTGCTTTATTGTTTTGTCACAAAACAAATTTAATTCATACTGTCCCCCCTTGTCTCAATGTTTTAGCAATATCAGCCATGTTTCATCTTGCAGACCCCACAAAATTTAACCTTAGAGTGAAAGCTATTGGGATGACCATAACAGACACTAATCAGAATGATTCAGAAAAGAATTGTATAGGCTATTGCATTTGAGTCCTGAGAAGGACTTTTATTTATTTATAAAGAAGGCATAATCACATAGGCTGCTGTGATGAACACTGGTATCCATTTAGTACTAACCAGAGGGTATGTGTAGCTTAGAGGCTGCTGTAGAGACAAATAATATTACATCCAAAATTAAATTAGTGCTTTACATTAAACTGTTAGTTGACTTTTGTATATAATTGTGAAGTGATAAAATACGGGTGTAAATATTTTATTTCAAATGACTATGATAAGCAGACCTATAAAATTAATATAAAAGGGAAGCATTTAAAAACCTAACTTCTACCTGTAGATTGCTGACAAAGGACATCTTTACGAAATGTAGTAAACATCATAAAAAGTAGTCTCGTAGTATTAAATGTTGAAAACATCAACAAAATATTTATAAATTGGTTAAAAAAATAATGATTTAAGTGATTAGAATTGGTGAAGAAATATTGAATAAACTTTCAGAGGTTTAAGGATACATCTGGTAATGTATGAGAGTATGTTTTTAGTCCTTGGATTAAAGAAAAAGCAAATTTAAATTAAAATTGTATAAATATTTGAATATTATATAACAGGGTTGTCCAAACTTCATGTCAGTACGAGCCTCATGTTTGAATTCAGGAATGTTCGAGAGCCGCATCTAGATTTTCTAAAAGCCACAAGTTTATATTTATATCATTATAGAAGTAGTGGAAGAGGTTTTAAATAGAAAGAAATCCCTGATAACTAGGGAAAAGAGCAGAAAGAGTCTAAACTAATTAATTACTTCTTTTTGGACACTGAATAGTTTTAGTGTACCGTATTTCATACATATATTTTATATGCACGAGCCGCACAAATTGCCTGCGAGAGCCATATAAGGCTCGCGAGCCGCACTTTGGCCACCCCTGTTGTATAATATGATGGAGATTATATTATGGTTTGAATTTCTATAATCATATATGTACAAGATAATTAACATTTTTATCGATTCCAAAGTGAGTAAAATTAAAAATATTAATAAATACTGAAACTGGAAAGGAAACCCAGAAAACAGAAATATTGATAGTACTAGACCATAAAATGTTGAATTTGAATTTCCATTGCTTTCACAGCCAAAGAAATTAATACTGTGAAAATTGCTGAGCAACCAAAAAAGGGTAGTGTTGTTGAAACATCTGAAAAGGCAGTTCAATTATTGAAAATGTTTTCATTTACTTTTATTAACTTTAATAATTTGTAGCATAAATTTCTTTCAAGTCTTATGATCCTGGTTCATAGATGTTGCAGTTTTCATAAGTATATTATTGATTATATTACTAAAATACTGAATTGAGTACAACTAATATATTTCTTTTCTCATGATAATTATGGAATCAAAAATAATAGGTTGCAGTATAGAGATTGAGTAATTGTGCATGTAATTGCTTTTGTTTTTATTGCAGATTCCATCAGTAACAGTTCCAGTCCGTCGCCTAAATTTGCAAGAATATCAGAGCAAACAGTTAATGAATGATCATGGGATCTGTGTTCAGAATTTTAGAGTTGCCTCTAATGTAAATGAAGCTGAGGAAATATCTCACACTTTTCGTAAGAATTTTTACTTATTTCTGCTTTACTTATTTCTGCTTTAGTACCTACAGTTGATTTCCTTAATAAAAGACTTGGCTATGAAAAGTTTTTAATTGTAAGAAAGAAAAATAAAAGTGTAATTGGAACATTGCTTAATTATATGGTAATTTGGTATTTCTGTGTTAATGCATCAGTTGTCAGTGGTTTTTGAAATTTGCATGTTACAGTTTGAACAATTAAGCTTATTAAATTTTCTGATTAAGCACTATGGCTGTTTTTACAAGGAAACATTTATGATTATAGTAAAATAAGAAAAATCAAATATTTTATACTAAAGAATCAACAATTTTCTGCTAAATTAGGTTTCTCTATATTGCATAGCTTTTCCATATTTTAAAAAATTGCATAATCTGTTTGAAAAAGATAAATTGTTTTTTCTCCTGCATTCAGTCATTCATTTGAAAAGAAAATGCACTTTCTCTCATTTCAGAAATGTAAAATTAAGTCAGTGAAAACATTGCATGTTTTGAATGTTTTATTAGAATACATGAAATAGCTTGTAATGCTTTGCCATAAATAAATAAATTATTTTGATTTATTGGTTATTTTTTAATCTAGTTGGGGTTATCGAAAATAGTTACTCTGCCTCCAAAAATTGAAAATATACACCTTTTTATTTTTGGCAAAAGCAATTTTCAAAGCAAATGAATAATTACTAATAAGTAAAAATACATTTATTTCATACAGTTAAATGAATAATTTAATTTCTAATAGTAATACAAAATACTGAAAGAAAAATCTGTGACAATAAAACTTCACGTAGCATTTAAACTAAATGTTAGCAGATATTTGCTTTAAAAAAAAATATTACTAGACCATAAAATGTTGAATTTGAATTTTCATTGCTTTCACAACTAAAGAAATTAATGCAGTGAAAATTGCTGAGCAACCAAAAAAGGTAATGCCATTGAAATATCTGAAAAGACAGTTAAATTACTGAAAATGTTTTCATTTACTTGTATTAACTTTAATAATTTGTAGCATAAATTTCAAGTCTGAAGAGACCATATTACTAAAATGTTGAATTGAGTACAGCTAACAATTATATATTTCTTTTCTCATGTAAATGTTTAATCTAATATATTTTTTTTTACTAAACATGGAGGTGTTAGTATTTCGTTACATTCCCTATATTTAATAAATATGGAAATGTTAGTTTTTCCGGTATTTTTCCGTTTTGCCAGAGCGCAAACGATAAAGTCGCCAATAATGGTACAACTGATGCCAAACGGAATATATTTGCTGATAACCTTTTAGCCTTCATTTTCAAAACAAGTCGCTGCCATTTCTTATCAGATTGATTGTTTCTTTCAATACTAGCATACAATCATATAGAATTTTTACTAGTTAAATTTTATGCCCTAAGACCATTCGCGATAATTAATTAGGATGCAATTGCACAATTCACTTGAAGGCGAAAATGTAGAAAAGGCAAAATCAAGGGTTAAATTCGTCAAATCTAATGAGAATGCTAGCGAAGTAAAGTACTGCTTTCTAACATAATTTCTGAGTAAGCTATTCGTACGAATTGAAATAATTCTTGCATTTAATTTTGTATTCCATAAGATTTAATTTAAGATTTAACTTAAAATTAATGTAGATAATTACTGAGAGAATTAGATTTTTGTAGCGTAGTTTACGAGAGATAGATCTTATGGTCACGTGATACGAACTGGCGAATCAGGGTGCTGAACCATGAAAGCATAGAAATTCTTAAATTAATATCTTTTTACAAATTTATTGGCTTTTTACAAAATTTTAAACCATATTAAAATGTTTATGGCTTAAATAAAAAATTCTTAGAACTAACATTTGTTAACATTTTTTATGTGTATGCTGTCGCCAACAAAGTCTGCTTGGCGAGATTTGTGCCAGCGAAACAGAAATGTACCGTTTTTCTTATATGCTCATTATCTTTTATTATTACTCTCAAATGTTATGGTATAAGACTCAATCAAATATTCACTTGTATCTGAAAATATTTTGTCTGATTTTTCATGCAGAAGTCATTCTAAATGATATTTACTTGTTATTTTATGTTGCTGCACAGGCATTGAGTAGAGACCACAGGTTTTTAATAATATTGATGTCTGCATATCAGGTAAGAGTATGTTGTTTGCTGCTTACAGTGATAGCTGCTGCTTACAGTGATTGTTTGCTGCTTACAGTAGAGGCACTACATTTTCATATGTTTATATCATATGTTTGGAGTCATTGTTTTGCTAAAATATGAGATTTTCATCCAGGCCTAACTTTATACTTTCTTTCAGATTCTTTTTGAGTATGTTTAAATACATTATGTGGTTTATATTACCATTAAGTAAGACAACTTTGCTGCTTCTTTTACAGCTGTATAACCTCAAAACATAGCAGATCCACTCCCATATGTTTTGTATTGAGCGTCACTTTTTAGGACTGAGATTAGTGTTTGATTTTCTGCAAACAATACGATGACCATGTTTACTAAATATATTGAATTTTCTGAAAATGTTTCTCCAAAAATTTTCTTTCTTCAATAAATAAGGTTTAGCACATTTTAAATGCTTTCTCTGATTTTAAAAACGTATGAACAGTTTCGTTCTTGCTGCTGTATGTTATAACTACCTCTTCTGATGACATTTTGTTCCGTTTCGGCACAAATATGCCTACCAGAGGCACAAATGTGTCTATCAGAGTTTCTACATCAAGTTTAGTGACACTTATTTTGGAATCTAGCTTGAATTCTTTCAGTATTTATCTTTTTGTTACAGGTCCTCAAAATTTTTTTTTCTTTTTCAATTTTTATTTTCGACCAATCCCTCTCATTTGTACTTTCCAGTTATTTTCTGGACACGGATGTGACTTTCACCTATAACTTTAGTGATATTATCATAAGATTTACCATTCTTTGATGACTTTAAAAGAAAGTTTCCTACATCAATACTGGTTTAACTTCAATGTTTCATTTTACTTCTAAAATGGTTGATTTACGTATTACAAAAGTATTGTACAGATAAATAAAAAGTAGTTGTTTACAGCAGCGATTTGAATTTAATATGAAGTCTGCAGTTTTTAAAAAAGATAATGGTAATTAAACATATTTTTTCAATGATATATTGATGCGTATGTATAGGTTCATTATGAATTGAATGCACAAGTCCGATGAAAAATGAACAAAAATTTATTATTATAACAAAATGCTTAAATTTCCTTAGATATTCATACAGTATTACATATCTCACAGTAGTTATCTCTTGACTACTCAAACGTTTAACAGAACTTAATTCAAAACAGCTAGAGAAAGCTAATCCGCTACAGTCAATAAGAGCAGTTTTCTATACAAACTCTTAAAACAACAACTAACTGAATTGAGAGGTTTTTCTCCTTTTTATAAGCTTTTTAAATCACATGCAATATTGTTCTAGCAATTTCTCAAAAATCAAAAAGAGATATTTATTTATTAAATGTTAAATGCACGTGCTGTTGTATTTTTAATTTTCTGGCTTAGCTTTCTTTTAACATTCGTCACACGCTGCACTTCTTAGGGAATAAAACAATTTTATTTATAATTCTACTAATATTAGCTATTAAAATACCAAATCCGTTACAATATTTTCAGTTTTATTTTATCATAAAATATTACCAGTTTTAATAAATGTGTTAAAAAACAAAATGAAAAATCAGTAAAAATATACCATATAATATTCATAAAATATCGTTAACAGATTAAAAATAGAATCGGTTTAAGCTGTTATTGATTAGGAGACAAGTCAAGAAATCTGAGAGATTGAAAGGATATGAAAATGCTCAGCAAATAATGGATTCAATTCTCTAGAAACATGCTGTTTTGTTCTTAAGTACAGCTGAATTCTTATGTATGTAATTCTTAATCGTATAATGATGTACAGTATTTCTAAATTATTCAAGTGATTTATGTAGAGCAAAACGTTTTATGCAAAACTACCTATAATTAAGTACTGACACATAACACTTCATATATTCACAGCATCATATCAGTTTATATTAGCTTCTTACAGTGTCATAGACAATAAAAATAAGCTTTTAACTAGAAAAATAACTGTTCTAATCAATATAGTGGTTAGCAAACTGTATCGTTAGGTTCAAATTCAAATAGAAGGCATGGATATTTTTTAAATACTATCGAGACACTTGTAGTGGGAGGGGGAAGTGGGATACCCTTTGATTTATTCCCTGGGTGTTTTGCATTCGTGCAGAACTCCCATGGGTATAATTCAGTCACCCATTATGCTGCATCCTGAGTAAATTCTAGGTGATGAGATGGTTAAAACACTGATGGGTATTAGCCATTCCTGATAAGTGCATTAATTACAGCTTGCAAAAAATTAATTGCAGCTTGCAAAATCATGTGTATTTAAGTTTTGGTATTATTTTTTCTGATAATTATCTGCATCCATATCATACATAAAATGCATTAAATTATATATTTCTACTGCAGATGTTGATGAATATGTTGTGAAAGCTCAAATTTTAGCTGGTGGCCGGGGAAAGGGAACCTTTTCTAGTGGCCTTCAGGGAGGAGTTAAATTGACCAAAAAGTAAGTTTAAAATATCCTGATATAAGCTAGGGTTTTTGTACTAAGGTTATAAATTAAAATTTTTATTTTATAACACATATTGTTCTTTTTTTAATCACTAAGATAGCTTTGACAATATTCAAGAGTCAAAAATCTGTATTTTAAAACAAGTATTATATTTCTTTATTGTAACAATATATTACATACTATTATGTACTCATATCCATAAATTAAGGATAATTCAGAATCACACGGAAGTCGAACTCGTATTGTTCTTTTTTTTTTTTTTTTTTTAATCGCTAAGATTTCTTTGAGAATGTTCAAGAGTTAAAGTATATATTTTAAAACAAGTATTATATTTCAATACTGTAATAATATATTACATACTATTATGCACTCATGTCTATAAATTAAGGATAATTCAGAATCACACGGAAGTAGAACTCTAAAGTAAAAATTTCACCTGTAGAATTATCGCACACATCTTTAAGAATAATATGCAAACTACAGAAAGCCATCAGATGACGTCGATAGTATATCACTATGTTGAGAGTGTAAGAGAAGTGTATGTAAGGAATGGTAGCAAAGAAGTAAAATTGTTCATAAGCATTCTGTAAGCCACTCAGTGCCACAACCAAATAGTTATGACACAGAAGACACATGTGGATGATTTTGTACGAGGTAGAATTATCGGCCACCTGGAATGTGGGCGTACTCAGATGGAAGTATCCGAGGAACTCAGAATAGCCCAAAGTGTCATCTGTAGGCTTTGGCAACATTTCCAAAATGATGGAAATGTCAGTAGATATTACAGTGCAGGTCACCCCTAAGTAACAACACCAAATGCCAACCTGTATTTGGTGTCAAAAGAAGTAGACAGAGCACAGTATCAAATCTGTCTCGTCAGCTAGCTTCAGCCATGGATATGACACTTTCAAGGCAGACGGTGTGCAGGCATTTGGGACAGTTTGGTCTATATGCCCATAAACCAATCAGATATGTTCCGCACATGGCAACTCGCTGTCACCAGCATTTAGCCTGAAGTAGAGAACATGCAATATGGACATCATCCCAGCGGGCTTCTGCGAGTCAAGGTTTAGCTTGCAGTCTGATTCACATCGGACTTTCATATGGAGAACTCCAGGTACTCATTACCACCAAGACAACATCATTGAATGACACCATTATGGTGGTGCAAGACTGCTCGTTTGGGGTGAAATTATACTGGGCGCCAGAACAGATCTACATGTTCAGATTGGAACCATTATGGTCTTGATTTATTGGGACATCATTATGAAACAACATGTATGTTTGTTTAGGGGTGCCATGAGCACAGAATTTGTGTTTATGGATGGCAATGCCCATCCTCATCAAGTAAACACTGTAAAGGAATACTTTCAATCTTAGGATATCACCGTATGGAGTGGCCAGTATTCTCACCTGACTTGAATCGGATAGAGCAGGTGTGGGACATACTTGGTCGACGAATTGCAGCACATCAAGCACTTCCTACATGTGTACCGGAACTTTGGAGAGCATTGCTTGCTGAGTGGAGTAAACTGCTCAAAGATCAGCTTAATAATTTCATATTCAGCATGCCTAGACGTTGTACGGACTGTATTTCATTGTATGGAAGATGTACAATGTATTAACAGTTTTTATGAATGGTATTGTTGCGTGTGTAGAGGTTCGTTATGAAATGAATACTCAAGTCCGATGAAAGATGAACAAAATTTTTTATTATCCTAACAAATATGCTTAAATATTCTCAAATTATCATGCAGGATTACAATATCTCACAGTAGTTATCTTTTAACTACTCAAACGTTCAATAGAACTTAATTCAAAACAGCTAAAGAAAGCTAATCCCCGAATTCGCTACAGTCAACAAGAGCAGTTGTCTAAAAAACAACAAATTAAGTAACTCCAACGAACTGAGAGGTTTTCCTTCTTTTATAAGATTTTAAAATCGTGCGCGAGAATTTTCTAGTACTTTCTCAAAATCAAAAAGAGATATTTATTAAATGTTAAATGCACACGCTCTGGTATTTTCAATTTTTCCGGCTAAGCTTTCTTTTAATATTCGTCATGCGCTGCACTGCACAGGAAAGAAAACCATTTAATTTATAATTGAACTAACATTAGTTTTTTAAATACCAAATTCGTAACAGTATCATACATACACCATCTTTTTTGTTCTTTATCTTTTGTTTAATAAATGGGCTGTATGCATAAGTCGCGTTTGTTCTGTTTCTGAATCTTTAATTGCCGGAGCTGGCATTATCCTTAATTTATGGACATGAGTGTATTTATTTAATGTTTATTATATAAAAAATTTATATTTATTTATAACTTTGATAATATCTGTAGATGATCCAAATCTTCTGCAACCAGTGTATGAATTAATACAATTTTAATTTTCATACATATATATTTAATTTAAATTATTCATTACTTGATGAAGTATTCAGAAGAAAATCTATTTAGGTATTAGGAAATTATTTCATTTAGTCTAGCTTGGGTTCTGGAGTATATTAGAGTTTAATCTTGAAAAATGGTGCACTTAAAATTAATAATTTTTTAAGGACATTCATCTTTTCATAGAAAAAAATATATATAGGGCTCCAGAATTGATTGAAAAACTCGGGGATTTCATTTTGTTAATAAAATTAAGTAAAAAATATCCTATAAATAGGGATGGAATGTTCAGTGTCAGTAAGAGTGTGATGTGAAAGCTGTGCAGAAAGAGATGTGTAGCCAAGAAAATGCATTGCTTTATGTTCTAACAGACATGACTTTGATGTGCAAATGCATGGCACAGCAGAAGTTCTTGCTACAGTAGAGTGACCTTGTATAAAAACATGATATCAAGTGAACTTTCTAAGAACTCTTTTGAGGGGCAGTATTAGCAGCTATAGTCATCTTGTATATTGTCTTATTATATAAATCTTGGATATGCTGACATTGGTAAGCAATGGCAGCTTAGAGGAAGCATGACAGCTGTAGAGGAGAAACCATTGGCACAGTTCTTGGATTGTGGAGATAATTATAAATGGCACCGTGATATGTTATTGCTGTTGTTATAGGAAAAAAATTAATATAATCTTGGCAGGTGTCTGAATCCGAGGAATACCAGCTAATGTTTTTGCCTCCAGAATTTATTCATTTGCATTATCAGGCTTCATTTGCAGATTAGAGGAACTGTATTCTTTTCACTTACATTGTGTACAGTCGTAAGCATCAGATAATAACGTAATATGAACAGCTTTTGTACAATAGATGCTGTAGGAAATGGATAGATATCCCTCTAATTGCTATCAAATGTTGTGCAGTGATTACTGCCATGACTTTTTGAAATGAGAATTATTGATATTATTGAAAGATGTGCTGCAAGCTGTATGGTAACATGTATGGTCCATAATAGAGTGCTGGTATTTGTTTTGCAAACATTTTAACAAATCTTAGTTGCAAGTAGGGTAGCAGAATGGATTAGATAATTTTCCTCATTTCATGGCTTGCCAGATCTTCTGATATGAATCCATTAGCCTTTTTTCGTGGGGATATTTTAAGGCCAGAGTTGGTGTTTATTTTATTACTACACCAGACAAACTCTAACAAAGCATTGAAAATGCTCCCATAACATCCCTGGATTCTCTGAACCTATACACCAGTACTGGCATAACACTGGAGTAACATTGCTGCTATAATTATTATCAGTGGCTTCCATTTCAAGTACTTACTGCGAAGGAAAAGAATGATAGATCAAGTAAGTATAAGAAAAGATGGTGTTGACTGAAAGCGATTCAACATTATCTCCTTCAGCTGCTTATTATTATCTGTCCGTTAAGATAATATAAATAAAATCTTAATAAAATATGCAATTCTGTCCGGTAAGACCCTTCTTTTGACATGAATATTTGTGAAGTATATAGCAATCCTTGCCAATGTGGCCTGTGATACATTAGAGCCTCCCCAACCAAAAAAAAAAAAAAAAAAAAAAAAAAAAAAAAAAAAAAAAAGAAGCATGAGTTATAAAAATTTGCATCAGGAACCATGAGTCTTATGCTAAAAAAATACAAATAATTTTTTCTATTCAAAGCATTGTTGAGCTGCTAAACAAATATTCAATTCTGCTTTTGTTAAAATCATCTAAAAAGTGTCTTCAGTTGGTGAATTCGATTTCTTTGTTTTAATGTAGAGAGATTTTTAGCTAAAATCATCTAAAAAGCAATAGGGCTTCCATATTCATAGGAATCCGTGTATATTGGTGAGTATTGTTACTTGTTCTTTCCATCCAGGTATAAACATGATTACATTTTCCATTCCTAGATAATGCTGCTTGCTTTGTTTCTTTACATTATTTTATTCTCCCTTCATTACAGAAGTTATCATAATTAGTAACTAAGTATGCTCTAAAAATTTGTCATATCATCTTTCTGTTTATGCTACTTGTCTTTCATTTAGTTGCATTTGGAAAAGGTGATAGTATTGCATTCTAAAAATGCTTCTTCTAAAACAGAATTTATGTTAATCGATGTGTTTGTTCACACTTACTGTAATGCCTATGTATATATGTTTTCTTCCTATTTAAAGGTTTTTGTATTTCATACACACATGGCAGTTATTTTTGTCCCATACTGAAAACATTAGGTATTTTTTTTTGTTGGTCAGTTTTGTTTACTTTAGCCTGTCGTTCGGTGGCATATACATTTGCTTACTTTAGTTAGTAGCTGGATAGCCTTTCCAGTGTGTGGTAGCTGAATTATAGGAACTCTCTATATATATATATTGAAATTGCTTACTGTTTCAAAACATCTTGTTAAATTTTACTGTGGTTGAAACCAAATGATTATGTAGCAATTTCAATTAATAATATGCAGCATTAGACATATTCATAAAAAATTAATTGGATATATTATAAATTAAATACATTTTAGTTTATACCAATTAAATGAATTATTAAAAAATCAAATAAAGATTTAATTTATTAACTGCCTGACCATCAAGGCCGCATATATACAGCCTAGAATATTTTTGTGATATCTGTGAGATTGTATATATACATTCATCTTAAAATATGCCCAAGAAATTAAGGCAATATATTAAAAGTGCATAAATCCAGGTGTAAAATGCCAGGGGCATTTTAACATTAATAATTAAGAAAATAATTCTTTCTTGGGTAACTTTGAGAAATCTGGGCTTTCTTAGCAAAAACCCAGGCCGGTCAGAACGTTAAGAAGTACATTTGTTATAACTGGGAGCAAAACATGCCAATATAAAATTTGGATATTTTGAATAAAACTTTATTGAATTTAAAAGTTAACTTATATTTGTTCTCTTCTTTGGGATTTTTTTTTTTTTTTTTTTGGTCTTCGTTCATTTTTTTTTGGGAGGGGTTACTTTTTCCATTTTTCCCCCCTCCAGAAGAAGAGGGATATGTGTTAAATTGCCCATGACAATCTGAAGCTGCTTTTTTGCCTTATTAAATGCATTTATTGCTTTTAAATTGTCAATTTGTTAAACAATTGTAGCTAGAGAGTGAAATTTAAAAGGTAAAATAAAGATTTTTTACTTTGGCAAATGGCAACACTCTGAGAATTGAGTATTGTGAGGCTTCTCAGAAGGTTAATTACAGATCTTATATATCATGCATTTAATTAATATTTACAGAGCCATGAAAATGATAAATGCATAGTAGTGATGCATATGTAGCAATGTAATGATTGAAACATTTTGGAAGAACTCTGCTGAAGATGATTTTATTATGAAGACAGCTTTTATTTTTAGGACATATTTTAAATGAAGATTTGGTTACATGTGTAAAAAGAAATTATACTACCATGTTCTATGATGTAAAATTTAAAATTTATTTCCCTGATTTTTAATAAGAATTGATTTATTCATTTATTTAAATATTTACCAAGTTTTTCAATTTAAAATTCTATGACCTACTAATTAGCAGACTTCGTAAGACTTGAGTAAATGTAATATGATGTTTGTCGAGAGATTCTAAGTGGTTAGTAATTTTGTTTTGCAGTATTCTGCAATTTTTGTAATTTTTTTTATATTACAACAGTAATAGTTTTAGAATAATAGTTTTATTGAGTAGTAATGCAGTTAGAAATAAATAGGCTAGTAGATTTTCATAATATATGTTCTCTCCTTCCTCAATAGCCCACAATGATGTTGTCTATACAAAACTTGTTTACAATCAATAACATATATTTCTGAATATAAGCTGAGAGTTCTTTTTTTTTTTTTTTTTTTTGTTGTTGTTGTTGTTAAAAAATTTACCTAAAATTCAAAACTCTTATATAAATCGAAGTGAGAACACAAAATTCTCTTAATGTTCAAACATATCACCATAAGGGTGAAAATGTTGTGAAATAGAATATTTTTCAATCAAATCAGTATAAAGCAAAATGCTGGATGTAACCAATGATAGTTTTAACTCTGGTAATACTATCTGAAGCTAGCACATTTATTCATTTTTTTTTATCTTGTATACAATCTATTGTATCTGTACTAGTCTTTGGGCACCATTTTATTTTTTGTCTAAAAATAATCTGGAAGAGAAATTCTTATACAGCAGATTTCAAATTTCACTCTAATTTTAACCGCCATTTAACAAATTGCCATTATAAACAATTTCGACAGTCAAACAACTCCTTTTCATAAAACTAATAACTGATTTCATTTTAAATTATTTTTTCATAAACTTAAAAAATATAAACTAGAGAAATAAAAAAATTGATATTTAGCAGTTTATCGTATGTGCCTGGCTACCGGAAAAATATGTTTTTTGTGAGATCATCTGATCTGTATATAAGCTGACTCCTGTAATTTAGCATTAGAAAAATTTCAAAAATTCTTGGTTTGTATACAGAAATGTATGGTAATTATTTGGTTTCTGCTTAGTTGTGTATAATGATGTTATATTTTTTGTAGTCCAAAAGATGTTCCCAAACTTGCGGAGAAGATGTTGGGCCATAAACTTATAACTAAGCAAACCCCTAAAGATGGCGTTGCAGTCAATAAAGTAATTTTAATCTCATTTAAATTGCTTTTCTTTTGATAATAGGTGCTAATTTTTTTAATTTGCTTTTGCAAACTGATCATAATTTGATGTTATAGATTATGATTGCTGAGGCTATAGATATAGCAAGAGAAACATATCTTGCAATTTTAATGGACAGGGAGAGTGGTGGACCTGTCATAATAGCAAGCCCTGCAGGGGGAGTAGACATAGAAGAAGTGGCTAGCAAAACGCCAGATTTAATACATAAAGTAAGTGAAGTAGAATTCTGATAAAGCTGCTCTTATTCTTTGGGACCAAGGGTTTTACAACTTAGAACATTTTGTGGATTATAGGTCACATTTTTTTTTTTTTTTTTGCATTTTGTTCATATTTTCCTAGATATGGTAGGCTTTATATTAAATCTGAATTAGTTGCACATACATATTAATCAAAGTATACCCATAACTCAAAAATTATTTAAACAAAGTTTATTGAATGAAAAGCTATTACAAAGTCCGAGATCCAGGCTCGTCGAAACTTTGGTGATTCTGTATTTGGGACTTTTCCAGTTATTAGATCATCAATTTAAATCTTTCTAGTAAGATGGCAAGTTCTGCAATTGCTGTGTAAAGAATTTCGACTCACTTGTCAATAAAATAATTTCCGTTTGCAGTAACCTCTCTGTCACTTTCTTCGCTACTGCTAGTGGTATTTTCTGAATCTAGAATCACACTACAGATTTCGCTGTCCATTAACTGATTGATGATTGGGGCATTGTGATTGCAATCAAAAACTTCTTTTATATCATCTTCATTTATTACTGCTTCTCCACATTTCATTACAAAATCCATTAATTTGAAAATTTCACCTTTGGTTTGCAATTTCTGAAAATCTTCAAATTCGCTGTTATCATCTTCATCATCTTTATAATGAAATATGGTAGCTGGCAATAAATTATGCCAAGCATTTTTTAAAGTATCTGAAAGCACATTCTCCCATGATCTTGTGATGCTCCACACAGCAGATTTTATGCTAAAATATTAAAAATATTCTTAAATAGTCTTGCCATTATTAAAAAAATTTAATGTTGATTTTAAAAAAGCTACTTTAAACAGTAGAAGTCCAGAAATCCGCAAAGCTTGGGACCAGAGGTTGTGCGGATTTTAGGACAGAAAAGATAAATCATAATATTCAGACTAAAAGTGCAAAATAAATAAGGTGTATTAGATACACTTAATTAAATTATTATATACATTATTGTAATAACTTATTATATGCATTAAATTGTTATTACATATATAAATTGATTATATTATTCATTGTATTATATATGCACAGCATCGAAATTTGCAGATTTCGTTTCATGCAAAGATTTCCAGTTTCGGATTCCGGTGTTAGAATCACTGTTGCTGTAAAATTTCAACAACCTTTCTTTATTTTCCATATATCATACACAATCGTATCGCAATTTCGTACGATTCTGCTATAAAATGTACCTGTCTCCATCTTTTGCAGAATTTGCACCTTTTCCATTACCATCAATGCAACGTGTTTACGTTTTTCAACATTGCAAGTAGTAAAATCATGAGTGTGTTTCTTATCTGTCATTGTATTAAAAAGGGCTGAAATTTAAAAATTCTTAATTTATCCACAAAATATCGGATTAAAAAAAAAGGCAGCACTAAATAATCTTGTGAAATAACAAAGCTTAGAAAATACAACAACATGAATTGTGAACTTGAAAGAAGAGTTGAGTGAATCGTCTGCTTTCTTACCTCAATGCAGAGATTAGAGGAAAAAAAACTTTTATCATGATGTCAATAGTTGGGTATTTCCGTTATGACTCATTATTATTCGGTAATTATGATGTCATTATTTGGTAAGTATCTTTTCTTCAATATCTTATACTCAGTGTTGCGGTTTCCGGAACCTATAAACTGAATGTTTATGTTTTGAGAGGCAATGCAAATTTCAGGAGTTGGCGGATTTTCAGTATTTGACTGCATTTGCATTTCAGCGAGTGCAGTATTCAAATATCCATATGCTGAATGATGAACATACAATTTGAAGGAAAGAATAATACGGACACATTATCTTTCACTGAAACTTTAAGTGAAGTATAAACAAAGGCGTAACTAGGGTTTTCAGCACCCAGGGCAACTGAAGATTTTGCACCCCTATCTCTGTGCCAAGAATGGAAAAATTTCATTCTAAAATTTCATAATATCAATTTGGCACTCCCTGAATGCTGCACCTGGGGACAGGTGCCCCCCTTGCCCCACCCTAGCTATGCCACTGAGTATAAGTTGAATGGTTGTCTACAATCAGGACAATTCGTCATCAGGTAAACCAACCAAATTCAAACGTTGCCAAGCATTGGGTTTGAAGTGATTTTCAAGCCAATTATTAACTAATACTTGTGTCATTCATTTTTTTTTATTTGCACGATGTGTAATGGAGAAAATATTTACTTCTTTAAATGCTCAAGGGTCATATTTTTTCCAATTATGAAAGGTTTACACTTGTGCGTTCCTGCAGCATTTGCACCTGCTAAAACTGTTAGTCTCGCTTTGGAATATTTGACACTACTAGTTGGAGCCTTTTCAGCTGACATTTCATCCCCCATATCCACTGCTTCTTTAGTCATATTATTAAAACATATAATTCCTGATGTTTTATTTTCTCCAATAGTATCATCTATAGTATGATCGTTATATAATGTTGAAAGCATAAGAACAGTTTTTCCTTTTTTAGGAACATCAGGAATTAATGTTTTATCTTTTTTGAAACCAAAACATTGCAGAAAATATTCTTACTTTCATCTTCAGTTTCCGAAATGCAATCTTCATCGCTTTCAAATATTTCTAATAAATCTCACATGCGTTGCATCTCCAATTCATAGGGACTCATTCTTTTTACCATAATGCAGTTAGAAATTTTTAAGAATTTAATGTCAAGTACTTTAAAATCGCTTGCGAGTAGAAATATTTACTGTTACACTCTAGAAATAAATTTCTGAACTAAATATTCAGTTAGAAAAACACTTACACGGACAGGCGCAGGGGGTGTGTCATACCCCAGTTCCAAAAAAATACCGATAATCTTTTCCTGAAACACAGAGGCAAAGAAAAAGCGGTTCTGAAAGTCAGCCACGACTAGAAACTCAGCTACTTAAAGCAGCACAGAATTTCAGTTTCACAAGTTAGGAATATTCCACTTTTATGTAGGGTTGGGGTATGATACACCCCACGCGCTTTCCCGCAGGTTAACTGAAAGTCCTTGGAATCTTTAAAGTATAATTTTAGCCTAGCTTAACAGTGTCCGCTATACATTATTGGCTATGTGCCATGAGATAGTCGACGACAGACAAGTCATTTCGCTAAATTGTGTCTTGCTTCTATTGCACACTGATACTATTAAACCTGAGTTGTATTAGTTTAGTTATTTATTATACTTATGTTTATTTCTTACACATGCTTAATTGCTTATCTGAGTCCTGAATAAATAAATTCCCATGTACACTTAAAGCTTGTCGAGGGCCGGCACCAGATATCACTTGGTGCAATCTCTGCAAGTCTTAAATTCTGCTGCCAAGCCTAATTTTGCCTAAATTTGTCTAAATTTTGGGTCCCAGTGCTTTCCCTAAATTCTAACAATTTTGTCATCCCTGAATTTTGTTGTTTGGTGCCTCTCTAAATTCCAAAAATTTTGTATTTCTCAAAATTCTGCTGCCCAGTGCAGCCATATGAGCTCTGGTGCTGGTTCTGGGTTTAGTCTTTTGGTCTATAACTATCATTAACAAAATCTGTTTTTAACATATGGAAAGAAATTTTTGTTAAATGTTTCCTGGTCAACATTTCATGGTGCATTTAACTTAAATCTGTAATCATCGCCAAGTGTAATGTCAACATAAAAGGTTACCATGCAGTTTGTTATTCAATCACTAATATAAAAAATTGTTTAGGCATTGCTGCACGAGTCATTACTCAAGTTTCCATGTGTTGATAAAAATGCAGTGATGAAAGCAAAATATAATAAATAAGGATTTGCCAGGTTGGGCATCAGGGGTATAAAATATTAATAGGTGTAAAATCAATGATGTTTCTGTATACTAGAATGTTTTGGTTCAAGATGTATGCCAAGCAGATACGCAGCTACCGTGCCAAATTATTGATCACACAAATTTATGCTAAAATAATTGTTTCTTCAATAACGAGGTATTTGATTTAGTGCCAAAATTAAGAATCATGACTCACCACATATTTTATTGTGGAGGGGGAAAAGTAAAATGTGTGTGCATAAAGCATTGAAGGGAAGAGAAAATGTTGTTGGGGGAATTTTAAATCGTTCTGGATTTTTGGACGCCTGGATCTTGGACTTTGTACTGTATATCTTTTAATTATGATGCTAGTACATTCCTGTTGTTCTTTATGTTTAGGAAATGGTCAATTTTTATTTATTATCTGCATGATTTTAATAATATATATATGCATGCTTATGTTTTATTATACAATCTACACTCTTTTGCAAAAAAATCAAAGCACCATGAAGGAAGTGGTTGTTTTTGATGAAATTAAATATGTGTATAGTTCACACACAGATAATAAAATGATTAAAAATCAAGGTCATAGTACCTGTTCATGGCTCACAATCCCCCATTAAGTGTTCAAATTAGTAGTTGGTCGAACCGCCCCTGGCGGCAACGCATGCTTGAATTCGGTGAGGCAAGGAGTGGTAGAGGTTTCTAATATCACCCGTCTTCTCCAGACATGAACATGGTAGTCATCTTCTTCAAGATTGAAGCGGGATTTATTGCTGAACACTATACAATGCCCGTCTGAAGGCAGCCATGATGATCAGCTGCGACACCACTCCAAGCGACTTCACCGATGTTGTGAGGTCAAAGGCAACATCTTAAAGTATGGCATTGGAAAGTTAAAGGCCTCTGTGAGTGCATTCCTGCCGTGAGATGGTGGACAGTGACACTGGAGGTATGGACGTGGCTGTAGTGCGTTGAATAGTCGAAATGATACCATTGGTGCAGTTTGGGTCTGGCGAACAATCATCCTATCTTGCCTCACATTTGTTCTCCTTGGCCTTCCAAAGCCTTCATTTTGTCGGCAATTTCCTTGTAACCACCATTACTGCCAATGTCTTTGCACAGCAATGTCTGTACGCTGCAGGTGGAGGCCTATTGCTCGGTATGACCATCCAGCTTCATGCAGTCCTACAATGCGATCACGTTTGAAGTTGTTTAGTTGTCTGTAAG